ATTAGCTAGAGAGTACATATAAATACAGCCATTTGATAGCAAAACTATAAAGAGGTCCTCAGAATTTCGAAAAATGGTAGGTTCGTTCCTTATTGCAAAATATCAGACAAGTATTTTTTATTTTGTCATTAGGGTGACCATTTCCATGTTAAAGTGGTCGAAAAAAATCGTTTTGTTCCATTTTTTTTTTCAAAAATTACTTTTTGAAAAAAAAATATAATAATATTAAACAATTGAAACTTTGTATTGAAAAACATGGATTTTATTTGTTGTTCGTGGGTTTCATGGTTTGTAGACAGAGGGCACAATATGTTTTTTTTTTTTCGTTTAAAATTAAGACTCTGTTACACAACATATCAAAAAATCAGCGGTGTGTTTTTATTTCGATTTGAGTTATATTTTTTGTTTTTCAAGTTATCAAGTTTTGAATTTTAACTCAATACTCCTATGTGACCAGACTGCCATGCGTCTCCATTGATTTTTTCATCTACGCATATCAGATAGAGCGATTGTTTTTGAATAATTCATCTGAACGTACCAAATCGATAAGATAAGAAACTTCGAAATTATTTCAGTTTAGAATCTGCCTTCCAATGGTACACCGGCAGTGTTGGCAGAAAAAGTGATTTATGGCATTTAATTCAAACCATTAATATTTGAATACTTCTTTTTTTTTATCCTTTCTTGGGTAAAGTTGTTAGGCACTTCCTGGACTATATTCGTACAGCTTTAGCTACATGCTTCGGGTCTCTAGGGAATTACAACCAATCGTCCCAAAATTTTGCACAGTGGTTTGGGACCTCAACTGGAACCAACAATGGGTTGGTCTCGCTAGATAAGGTCTAGTTTACGTTTTGACGTAGGACTACGTCTTTAATTTCTATGCTGGGGGTCACATTAAAAAAATCAAAATTCAGACATGTAACGAAAAATCCCAAACACGAACGCAACGATAGAGCGCAAATCGAACACACGACACATTGCGCATGCTCACATGAGCTAGCTCAATGCTCGGTTGACCGCTCACCATTTAACCAATGAAAGGAAGGGAGGATAAAAGCAGCGATAAAAAAAACGCTTTTGCTTTCGAGCAACGAACGGATAAATATCGGACACGACGGATGGACGGATGAGTGGAACTGCACGCATCGCACCGATGCGAATACGACGATGAAAGCACCCACATCGACCGGAGAAAAAGCTTCCCGCAATAGGCAGCATGACTAGGCCGCCGACATCCAGTCGGCTTCGAATTGCTCTGGTGTGGCCACCATTTGAAAAACAATCGGCCCTTTTCAGGGCCACCGATTCAAAAACGAAAAGAGTTAACAACTAAATGATCAACATATTTGTTCCGTCCACTAGCGGTCCTACGTCAAGCTTCCGTTCGTGCCCCTAGGCACAGACCCTTCTACCTTATTTTCCATATTATGGTGACCCACCCTAATATATCTAGACCAACAATTGAAATAGGCGGAACAACCAAACGTAAACAATGGCTTTAAACACAAAATTCTCGAGAATCAAAACACTCCCACGCAAACTAACAATGCCATTCGATAAAGAAAGTTTGCTCTATCAGATGATGATGTTAGATTGCTTGGATGTGCTTTGATTCTCGAGGAATTTGCGTTTAAAGCCATTGTTCACGTTTGGTTGTTCCGCCTATTTTAATTGTTGGTCTAGATATATCATAATAAATAAGGTTGGAAAGCTACTGTAGTAGCAGGAGCACCTAGATTAAAACATAAATGTAAATTGAATTGTAAATTGAACAATACTCTATCATTTTTATCCAGATGAAGTTTACAGGGTGACCACCCATCGGAATTTTAAATTCCCACGATTTTCCCACATTTTACCTGACAACTCGAAGCTAGCAAATTTATAATCACTATTGCGTGTTGGATACTCGGCTTGCATTTTAAGTCGACTTTAGTGATTAAGTAGTTCACATCTTTCCGAATGGATTTAATCTTTTTCTGAAGTGATTCAATGCATTTCAACATGGTTCTAAAGTTTTTGAAGAGATTCAATACTTTCGGAAGTGTTTTCAAACTATTCTGAAGTGATTCTGTGCTTTCCAAAATGATAAAAAACTTTTCAGAACGGGTTAAATATTTTCCTAAGCGATTCAAAGCTTTACTGAAGGGATTCAGTGCTTTCCGAAGTAATTACAAATATTTATTATGTGATTCAGTACTTTCCGAAGTGATCCTGAACTTTTCTGAAGTGATTCAGTGCTTTCCAAAGTAATTCAGTACATTCCATAGTGATTCCAAACTTTTCTGAAGTGATTCAGTTCTTTCCGAAGCGATTTTGAACCTTCCTGAAGTAATCCTTAACCTTTCTGAAGTTATTACAAACTTTCTTGACGTTATTTAGAAGTTTCCGGAGTGATTCTAAAGTTATCTGAAGTCATTCAATACTTTCAATTTTATTATATGATTCAGTATTTTCCAAAGTGATTCCGAACTTTTCAGAAGTGATTCAGTAATTTCCGAAGTTATTCTGAAAAGATTCATTACATCCCGAAGTGATTCCAAACTTTCTTAATGTGATTCAGTGCTTTGCAACGTGTTTCTGAACTTTACAGAAGTGATTCCATACTTTTCAGAATTGATTCAGTACTTTCGAACTGATTCCGAACTTTTCTGAAGTGATTCAGTACAGCCGAAAGTGATTACAAATCTGTGCTGTGATTCAGTTCTTAGCGAAGTGCTTTCAAACTGCTCTTAAGTGATGCAGTACTTTCCGAAATGATTCCGAACTTTTCTGAAATGTTTCAGGACTTTCCAACGTGATTTCAAACTTATTTGGAGAGTGTTGCGGCTCACCATTTTTGATGTTTTTTTTTTTTTTTTTTTTTCTAAAGTTCTAAAGGCAAATCGAACAAATCACAATAAAGCAAGTGAAACCCGTAGAACAGATTAAAACGAAACGGTGAAATGTATCGATCCCTTTATGCACATTAAATAGTTATCTCTTATTTTAATGCCAGTATAATAAGTAATTGTAATCAATTATGTATAAAAAACCAAAGATTTTCAAATAAACTATCAGTTAACTTTCGAATATCCGAGCCGACATGCTGCCTCTCGGAGTGCAGTAAATTGAGTCTAATATTTTCCTATACCGATCCAGCAAAAGTCTTCGTCCGCTGTCGTCACTCCACCGGAGGTACTTTACAGGCCAAGAAACCGCAACGTAGCGCCCTAGTCACTTGGGCGTAACAGGGAGTAATGCAATATTCAATTTGAATGATACAAAATTTTGCCCAGCGGTTTCATACTTACAACGAGCAGTGAACGTCAAATTTGACTGCATGACAATTCCGAACTACCATTGGCCGTAATCTTGACTATACCGAAAAATCAATGTTTACGAAAATATTCCATTACCAATAGATTCTATTGTACACAACAACAAGTTGTATTTTTATTAATAAAGTAAAATGTATGACTGTTTCAATAAATTATATTACATTGTAACAATAGGTTCTATTGTTTTTGTATGGTAAAACGGCAGCATAATTAAAAAATCGCCAACTCTCTACCAACAAGTCGTTCCAATTTTAAACATAACCTCAAATCTATGTACTCAAATATTTCAGGAGCATCCCAAGCGAACCATTCATTATCACATAGTCATTGTATCGATTGGGGTGAAGCTGCCACACGGCCGCTACAATCCCGGACACACACCAACCAGCAAACCAGCAATGCCAAGAATTAAATATCACTTTCATTTCCTGTGGTTTGTTTACACACGTCCCACCCGGATGGCAGAGAACATAGTCGAGCAGAGCGGTCCAAATTTCCTCGGGTTTCGGCTGATTACCGACCGATATGGAAAACATCTCTCTTACCCTCCCGCCCCTAGTCTGTTCTGGGCTGGAATCTGGAAGTTCATTTATTCGAATGACTGTAAATCGCCGGCGTCACAATCCATGGCAGTAGTGTGACACTATAGATCAAGAATGCTTTCAAACCATTTCAAGTGTGCGGTTTTGCGGCTTCAGTTTGGTTTGTCGTAAAAGAATCGAATTCCCCCTTCAACGGCGGGTTGACATCGGGTTGATGGATGTAATTTCCTTGCCATTGAAAGTGAAGGTTTCAGGTCAGCAGTTTTGGACTCGGACTAGTGGAAAATATCGCCGAATTTCCATAAATTGTGTGGCATGAACATTGGCAACATAGCACGTTGATTGATACGACTCAATCAGCTAGGATATATTTCACTGCCTGTCTGGATCAACAAAATCAACATTAATTACATTCAATAAACACAACAATTAATTCAGCTCCATTAAACTCCCCGCAGCAAATGCCCGCAAATGTACTAATAAATCACATGGATGCGGGAAAAAAATAACAACATTTGGCAACAGACCATCAACGCCCACCCACAAGTATCAAAGAAAAAACACACACTAATCGTCATTTTTATGAAGCCTCCAAGTTGTTCGGTAATGGAAACAAATTGGCTTGCGTGACTGACCTGTCCAAGCCAACTATGGAGCCGAATTTCTGTTATACCCAACCACCAGCACCACCGTCATTCCATTAATCTAAGTTCAAATGGTCATTGGCTTTACACATGTGGTTGGTACCATACAGCATTGGTAGGTGATGACTACCCCTGGCTCATTACCATCATCACTCACCAGTCAGCGCAAAGGCCGCATGGTGCAATAAGTCTGTCTACACACAAACACACCTGGGCGATGATGGTGTTAACAAATTGTCGAGGAATTAACGAGTCCATATTTCAGGTGATAAAATGGAGTTGCGTGAATATGGGCTCGTCCGTCCGTCCGTTGCCGTCGGTATCAGCACATGCCATAACACAGGCACAGGTGGAATATGGGAAGCATTTTTCCGAATTTCCATGGAAGGAAGGCGAAAAATGATGTCGTGGATCGATTGCGATCATATTGTGTGTTGTATTCGGTAATATGTAGTTTCGTTTTAATGTGTGATAAAGGAGAAGGTACTTACCGACTAGCGCCAGGATGACGGTTAACAGAGGTGCCGCAGGGAAACGAACGGGAATATTGAATTCCAACATCTGGAGCAGGTCAACTGGAATGGAAGAAATTGTGAAATATTGATTAGAAGTCGCTGTGATCAAACCGAAAATATGCGTTCGTATAAGTTTATTCTCACGAGAAAGCTTGGATACGAATGCTCTGTTTCTCTCTCAATGTTACAACTATAATCGGGTAAAATCTATGGCTAGTATAAAAAAAACTGTATTTGTAATGTGTACACCTATAATGAGATCTGACCCTTCTTACAAACATAACATTCATTTTATTGCGAAATTTTTCTCGCATGATGTCGCATTATGGGGTTTGGCCCTATTTATTTATTTTTCATTGATTTGTTTTCCGTCGGCTTTGTTTTCCGTACTGAGTACCAATGCTACCGACACCAAAAGGCAGCTCCCACACACAGAGATTATTTTACTGGGGTCAGTAATTTTTTACTGGGTTTTCAAACAGCTGAAAAAGTCAGTAAACTGAAAATAACGGTCACACGTAATGCAACGAACAATTTTAACATATTTTATTTTTATCATCAAATAAATGTAATAAGAACACAGTCTGTATAAATTTCAAGAAAAAATCACTTTTATACAATTTTTTTAAGTTTACTGACTTTTTCAGCTGTTCAAAAACCCAGTAAAAAATTACCGAACAGGGAGGCCGTGATTTTGTGTGCACACCTGGACCCTACCTATTGAGCCATCAACTCAATTTATTATCTTCTTGAAGAAAGCTTATAGTTCAATCCATTAAAACCAGGTTTAAAACTATACTATCTCATAAACCGTAATAAAACCTTCTTACAACATTTACAAATTCAATTTTTCCCACCCTACAAGATGTTGTCAAGACTTATATTAAAATTTCTTAAACCTGGAAGGTTTTATTCAACGCGTATTTTTATGGTTCTCAAGACAACTTCAAAGCAGGCATAAGTACAGGGTGGCAAGTGAATTTCCATTTTGAAATTCCTAGTTTTTTCCTGGTTTTCCTGTTCAATGATTTAAAAATTTCATAGTTTTAAAAACTATGTAGGGTAAATGTCGGCTTCGGCACCCATCGACTGTTTTCGGCAACCAAAATTTAAACGTTAATTTCAATATGTTTTCCCATCAACACACTTCCCTGAATGCATCCAAACGATTCTTTAGTCTTTCAGCTTCAATCTGATTGTATGTGTACGTCTGAGCAGTCCTGTTATGCCAGATTTTTATTCAAATGAAGCATACGTACTCTAAAATGGGGTTGATTTCAAGTTGCCGATAATAGAACAGCTGGTTAACACGCAGTTCTAATGGGAAGGTTGCCGAAGAAAACGAGGCTGCCGACAATAGTCACACTCACCTGAGAAGTTTGGAGCGTTTTAAAAACGCTTTCAAACAGTTTTGAAGAATTCTGTCGATTAGAATGGATAGAGAAGCAAGCAGCAGATGAATGTAAACCAACAGACACGTCATATATGTGTGTGACGATGAGAAAATGCTAATAGAAGTGCGGACACTGCTTAGATTGACGAGAATACGTAAATACGTAATTTCCCCCTATTTGAAAAAAAAAATTAATAAAAAAAAGTGAATCCTTGTACCATCATTCTTCGCGCAATGCGGAATTTCGCAAACCAAAATAGGTATTAAGGTTCTTGTGAATGCCCGTGAAATCTTTATCTGATTGTTTGCTGTAAAGAAGCGAGTAGGGAGCCGCGCTACTTCGTCGTATCATGGCGCCTATTTCCATTCTATGTGCTAAAACTATAATAGCAAAGCGTTTTCACTCATGTTTTTGCAAAAAAAATCTTTGCTTACAAGATTAAGTACGATTGACACTGAAACATTTGCGATAACCCGTAAAATGAGCGATTTTAGGGGTGTATGACGAAGAAAAGCTGAGATACGACGGACTAGCGCGGAGCCTTATCTAATGTCTGAAATTTAGAGATCTATAAGCCTCTAAATCTTGAGATTTCCGGTTTTGAAACTGCGATTTTTTAACTTTATTATTGAGATTTTTAGCCTACGGGCTAGTTTATCTCAAGGTGAAATTGTGAAGTGTGATATGAATAAGGACTCTTTAAACAAACATTTGCTTCTAACAATTTTACGGATTTCCAGTTTCTTTAAATTTTCCGCAAATTGTCAACGATTAAGGATCTTATTTAGCGGAATTTTGATTACAACATGATTTCAAAATCATATGATTAAAAGATTTCATAAATAACACTGGTTTAATAACTCTTATTATTAAAAAAAAATGCTGAAATTCATAGAAACTCCCTAAAGTTCGTAGAACTTCCCTGAAGCGTTAAGGTCTTTCCTGAAGGGTTCATTGAAGTTTGTATTGACTGAATTTCATTGGAATTCCCCGAAGTTCGAAGGACTTTTTTCAAGATCTTAGAACTTTCCTGAAGTGAGTTTTTTTGAAATTCATAGGAATTTCTTAAATATCGTAGTACCACGAAGTTCGTAGAAATTCTCAGAAGTTCGTAAGACTTCCTTCAAGTTCGAAGAACTTTCTCGAAGGTCTGAGGACTTCCCTGAAGTTTGAAGGACTTAACTGAATATATGAGGACCCTAAATTTAGAAGAGCTTCCCCGAAGTTCATAAAGCTTTAAATATCGAAGGGTTTTCCAAAAGTTTGTGGGTCCTTCCTAAATTTCTTGGAAATTCCCTGAAGTTTGGAGAGCTCCTATGAATTTCATAGGACTACCCGAGCAGGAACGAATATCTCGATACCTTAAATTGGTATGGATGAGCCTGACATAAGAGGTAAAATACCAAAAAATAATACCAAAAAAATGTTCCCACAATAACATTCCAATACCAAATTATGATAATGCAATACCAAAACAATACCACCCAGGTATTCTTGTGGTATCCAAATATCAATTTTTGGTAGTTACAAAGTATTTTCCATGTATTTTTTGGTATTATTCTTTGGTATTTTACCTCTTATGTCATGCTGGTCAATACCAAATTTTGTATCAAGATCAGAATTAGGTATTCGTTAGTTATTTTCTCCTGCTCGGGTACCTGTAGTTCAATCGACTTCTCGGAAGATCTAGGGACTTTTTTGAGCTTGGAGAACTATGTTAAGTTCCGAGGACTTCCCAAGAGTATTGAAGACTTCTTTGAAGCTCGGAAAAATCCATAAGTGTCATAGGATTATCCTTAAGTTTTAAGCAATGCCTAAATGTCGTAGAAGTTATATTAAATCTGTAGAAAATTCTGTAAAATTTGTAGTTATTCCCCAGAGATTAAAGGACTTCCCTGAAGTTCGTAAGACTTCTCTGAAATTTGTAGAACTTCTCTGAAGGTTCGGAGAGATTTCCTGTCCGTCGTAGGTCATCACAGTAGTTCACAGGATTTTCCTGAAACTTTTAAGACCTTATCTGAAGTTTTTAGAAATATAACTTTTTATTGAACATGTTGAACAGGTACTTCAAAGTAGTTACGCGTCGGCACTGCTTAAGTCTGCTATCAATTAAGCACAAATCATACATGCAATTGATTCGAGAAAAAATTAAATTAAAAATAAATACAAAATATATTTACTAAATACTCAGGGTAAATTTTGTTCATCAATGTTTAGTTGTTCGAAAGATTTAGCTTGAACAAAATGGTTAGTTTTGACCTGATTATAAAAAGAAACTATGACATACATAAAATTTAAAACCTATTTAAATTATACAAACAAGATTATTTTCCTGGTGGACTTATGAAATTCCAGGTTTTCTCCCGGTTGTTCCTGGTGAGAAAACTTGAAGAATTTAAATTTACTTCGTGAAAAATGGACCGCTGTGTGATTCATGAAACAAATCTCAAATAGAACTCAATCCAGCTAAAATTGGATCGTTGAAATTTGTTATGGTTATTTCAGATAATGTATGAACAATTTTGAGAGATGAATATGCTAATAGCATTGGACATGTAATTTTGCTGCCCTGTAAAATTTACTGTTAATATCATCTATTAAACCGAAGATAAAAGCATATCGCCATTGAAATAATGCGAAATAAAAAGATTTAGAAATCATTAAATCAAAAAAATCATAAACTATTTTTTTTTTTTTTTTGGGGCTCGAGGTAGACAACCTAATGTTCCAGTTCGGAATATTTTGGCTAGACGTGATCTGGAGTTTATGAAACTCATATATGTTTACTTTAAGAATACTAACCTTAGATTGTATGTTTGATTAACCTTGTGTTTAGTTTGTGTATTGAGTGTGTAGTTTTTTTTTTATGTTTGTTTTCAAGATAAATAGAAATTGTATAATAAATCATATTTCAAGCCTCCTTCTCCCTTTCCCCATCCAAAAAATTGTAAATCTCCACTAACCTCGAGACGACCGCGAGTAATCGGTTCAATTCCTTTAACTCTAGATTTAAGACATTAATCATGTATAATGCAAATGATAACTCGGCTCTGTAAAGTTTATTCGATTGAGCCTGTACAAATAAATTAATACAAAAAAAATAAACTATTTTGATAAAAAATGACCGACATAGTTGCAGTTAGCTAGCTAATCATTAATTTTGCAGTATTTTGTTTAAAAAACATCAAGTTTTGATCGATATTTTATACAATATTTCCATTGGATATTCAATCGTGTAAGTATGGCGACGATCTTTTGCATGCAAAAGCATCACCAAATCACCATTAATTATTTATTGACTTGATTAAAATAATAATAAGTGAACTTAGTATCAAACAAGATCAATTATTCTCAAATAGAATTATTTTGCGCTATATAAAACTATTCACTCTCCATTAAACCAACTTTAAAAATAATTGGCTTTAATCGAGATTTTATAAAATTCTTGAATAAGAAGACCCACCGTGCTGCGTCAGCAGCAGTTTGACAGCAGTTTATTTACGTTTGTACGAAACTTTTTCTAGCGTCAGTCAGTCAATTTTCTTCATTCAACCAGGTAATAATTCAGTTTTTAATGAGTTCAAGCGAACACTAACTATGTTTCTTTGTCCAAAGGATGCCTTTCAAGGTTGTGCAAATATCCGAAAAGAGTTGTGAGAGACATTT